GGGGGGTGGGGGGGGGTGCAAAGGTAAGAAGTGACTGGCTTACAAGCTTTCAAGAGGGAACCTAGATCCACAGGGCGGGGAGGATAGTGGAGTCTCCAGTGAATAGTACCCAACCTGTCTAGGAAGGGCTGATGAAAAGAAATGCAGACGGGTCTCATGTGATACAATGGAGAAAATTGTTACCAGGACTGATTGTGAGGACTGGAAATGTAAAGGTGGATATTTTATAGCAAGGAGGGGAGTGACTAACCTTTCAGTCTAGGACCGGAGGGCCCTGGGACCATCAACGGAGAAAAATGGAGAGTGGGACCCCACCCAGAGAAGCAGTGAGGCCTGAGATGAAGACAGAGAGGACAACATGAAGAGATGGAGTGCCTGGGGAGTTGAGACCCAGAGAAGGAAAGGGGCTGGATGCTGAGGACCGTGAGTTGGGGGACATGCAAGGTATACCATTTTGTTGGGGGATGATGCATGGAAGGGATGGTAACTAAGGCAATGAAATGATATAGGATAGAATGAATGTAAAACTAATGTTCCCCCATGTAGCCTATCACTCAATACACAATAAAACATTAAAAAAAAAAGAAAAGAAACCAAATGGAATATTGCATTAGGCAAATCTACTGCTCAAGACCTTTTTAAAGTGTTGGAAGAGCAAAGATATCAGCTTGAGGACTAAGGCGTGCATGATGTAAGCCATGGTATTTTCAATAACCTCATATACATGTGAAAGAAAGCTGGACTGTGAATAAGGAAGACCGTAGAAGAATTGATTCATTTGAGTAATGGAGTTGGAGGAGAATATTCATAGTACCTCGGACTGCTAGAAGAACAAACAAATCTTTCTAGAAAGAAGTACAGTTAGAATGGGGAGACTTCGTCTCTTGTACTTTAGTATTTTATCAAGAAGGATCAGTCCCTGGAGAAGGACATCATTCTAAGTACAGCAGAGGGTCAGTGAAAAAGAGGTAGACCCTCAATGAGGTGGATTGACACAGTGGCAGCAGCAATGGGCTCAAGCTTAACAATGATGGTGGGGGGGGTGCACAGTGGACAGTGTTTCACTCTGTTGTGCATCAGATGGCTATGTGTTGGAACCAACTCAATGGCACATAACAACACTATGGTTATAAAAAATTATTCATTCTCTTAGTGTTGTAGACTATGCACATTAAAAAAGCAAAAAAGACACAACATTAACCACCTCAATGCGATCTTTATGAGTCCAATAAAGATAAAAGGACAAACCACACATAGCAGCTCCCTTCCGTTAAGCCAAGGACAAACATACGGAAGGCTTATGGGCAACAGAAAGAAGAGGCCCAGGTAGAAATGCTAATTAAATTACTCTATTACTCAAAGTGCTAGTAGAAGATTCCAAGATTCTGAATTCTAAATTTTTTCTCTGTATCATAACATCTTAAAAAAAAAAAACATGCATCATTAGAGAATGGTAAAAATGCACCATTAGTCCATTAGAGCAATTTTTTCCAAGTATCTTCAATTTTCATCATTCTTGTTTCCTCTGGACAAGGAGAGATCAATGGTTGTTCCTTATATGGACACTTAGGAGTTTCTAAATTCCAGTCACTACTCACCAAAGTAGGATGCAGAATATTGTCATTGTGGACTATGGTATGCCAATTTGACTTTGGTGTCTCCTGAGACTATGGACCTGAGCTTAGCAACTCATTCCCTTCCCTCAGGTGTTTGGTAATGTCTAAGAAGTTTTCATAAATTTGCCCCCTGTATGCTCTACCACAGGAACACGATGGCTCCATAGGATTATCACTGGCTTGTGAACCACAAGGACAGCCGTTTGAGCCCACCAGCCGCTCCTCAGGAGAAAGATGAGGCTTTCTGCTCCTGCAAAAAAGATTTAAAGCTGCAGAAACCCTACACAGGGTAGATATGAGTCGAAACCGACTCCACAACACTTAACAACAACAGCAGCAGCAGCAATATTCTACCTCATTCATGGATATGTTTGCAGCAAAGCTGAATCCCCCTGGATAGCACTGACTTTTTCTGCTGTCTCCTCCTCCTTCAATTATGCACCAAGCTGCGGGATTTGCACAGGACCTTCCCTGGGTGTGTTTACCTGTACAATTTTCATCTCTGGTGACCAGAGAGGAAATGACTATACAGATAAA